ATTTATATCCTTTAACTATATGGGGAGCTTGTTAAATCTGGATTAGAAAGACTAATGAATATACTGGAATGGTGCATGGACTGGAATTTGTAACCACACGAGTTTTATACATGCAATGCATATTGGCTAATATTTATATATATATATATATGCAGGATTTATAATTTTTTCAAACTGTAAAGCCGTGTATATTGGTAGCCATATGAATTTTTCAAGTTGTATAGATGCTTGTATGTATGTTCATTGCAAATATAAGAAAATGAGTCATAATCATAATAGCATGTGTATACAAATAAGCATTTTTAATATTTCTTATAGTTGTTATATTTCCCCCTTCCTCCTCTCTGCTGGCCATAGTAAGGCCAGTTATGGGTTTGGTACTGCTCACCAGATTTCATCTTAGAGTGACATTCTGCACACTCTACAAGTTTGAAAACGTGTTAATTAACAATTATGAGTGGATTATATTAATATGCCTTCTCACTCCCCCTCAATTTCTGATGCAGTTTGGGTTGTCACACTTCTACGATCATCTTCCACTGTGATAACTTTGGAGGACCATTGCTGCTGCATACTTTATTTTAAACTAATTGATTTTTAAAAGCAATATATAGCTAAAAAAATTCTGCCTCACTTTTGCCTAGAATTACCATCTCCTGCTTGCATGATTTTGGTCACTCCTTGTAGTCAGCTTCAATGATGGCTACTCTCTCTGCAGCATCTATAAAATTCTCAATCATGCATTGGGGCTATAATTGACACTTAGGATCAGCAATCACCATGACTGCTGATCCGCTGCTTGAAACTGAGCTTGATGCTGTCTTTTAAACTACGGCTTAAATATATCTGTTATGGGAGACTAGCTGATACAGTTCATGATGATTTACTGTAGCTATTGACTATTTAACCACATTAGTTCGAGATGTAAAAAATTTAAGATTGTCAAGGAGATGTTTGAGATTATAGTGAACATTTATAGTTTCTGTGTAACTAAATTTTCTATATATAATGCATAACACTGGACTAAAACACAACCCCAATAAGTATATATAAAATTTTACCAGTAGAAAACTAGCCTTTTTAAATAAAACATATATATTTAAGACACATTTTAAATCAACCTTCCTGTCTTTTAAAGTAATTATTCTAGGAATATGTGTAATAAGATTTAATATTGTGTGTATTAATTTTTTTACACCTTCACTTCATTCATAATATAGGGTTAGATCCCTAAAGACACTGATAGTATAGTGTACAAAGCATTGAATATCTACATGTTACAGCCATCTAATGTTCATATTATTGGCTGGTAATTCCTGTTTTATCCTGTTCTTAAGCTTCTTAAAAGAACACCAGATAGTTGTAAAAAAAACTAACTTGAAGGGGTGATGATAACATTGTTTACACTAGAATTATGATTTTTTTAGCTTTTATAAATAATTTAAAAAGTACCTAATGCAATGCACAATGATCCATATAGTAATATTGACTAGGTTTGATTGTAATACTCATGCCTGTTTTTTCTGTAGGCTGGCAGAACAATAACAATAATAAAAAGAACAATAAATGGGCAATCCCTATTATGAACCACAATTGTGGTTCATGATAATTTTTTTCAATAACTCAAATTTTAAGATAAGCTCTAATGACAGGAAAATTAATTTTATGCCATCTTATTCTTGAAAAGGATGGTTTGGTTCTTAAATGTTTTAAAACTATTTTACATGTAACTCAATACCCTGAGAAGGCCTATCAGTCATGTTACTATTTTATTACTCTTTATTTCTATGATAAATTGTATTTACACATTGAGACCCATAAAATGGATTGATAAGTAATTATAACAGGATATATAAAGCTTTCTCCATGTTAATAGTCTTAGTTTGTGACAAGCTTTCAATTGCCTTGTAATACTGCAGTCACTTTCATTTCAGGTTTAATAAGTTAGTTTTAATTTTGAGTATAATAATAGCTAAGGAATACACAATATTTTCTGTTGGAGGCTATGTTTGTTAGGAAATCTGATATTGTTAAAAACGTTTGCACAAGTATTGTTGTTAAATTTCATTGTTGGCATCTATTGGGTGACCAAAAATATCAAAATAAGAATATATACCCACATACAGCTTCCTTTCTAGTTTTACCCATTGAAAATATCAGTTGGTATATCATTCATAAATGTGAATAAATGAAAATTGTTATTGCTTTTAAAAAAAAGTTTAATATAATATAAGAATAGTATTGATGGTTTTATTTTTCCGTCTTTAAAGGGACACTCGTCAGTGTCTTGTACTAGTGAATCAACACAAGTTTTGAACAATTATATTGAAGAACAGAGACAGAGGCAACAGAGAAGAAAGCCTAGAGAATTTGACAGAGCTTGGCTAAATGCTTGTATGGGTGTTATAGATGGAGATCTGAATCCTGTGATACATTATCTGTCAATTGGAGGTGATCCAGCTCGTCAGCTTACTACCTCTGATGTTGCATTGTTATCCCGAACCATGATGTTTGAAGTAGGAAAGAGCCTAACTGAGTTAGCTGTACAATACCAGGTAATAACTGACCATAAAGGTGGGCTCCAGAGAGAGATTAAAAAATGCCTGGGAATTGTAGAGTGTATTTTAAGGAGGAGAAAAGGCTAATAATGTGATTTCCACAATACACAAAATCTAAAACTGTATAGAACCTAAATAGATTTTCTTCTTTTATTACATAACTGTCAAAAGTTTGAGTTTTAAAAAATCCAATTAAATCCTTTATGAGATACCATTAAAGGTTCAGATGTTGGCCATCACTATCCACTTACTTGTGTATTGTGTTTGATTTCGTAGTGAACCTAGGAAGCTTTGTTTGTAATGCAAGTGGACTAGGGTGGGATTGTCAAGTATATCACCTGGTGTGATAGTAAAGATTTTAGCCAGATATCCTAGGACCAAGTGTTATTATAGGAATCAGTTTTAATATTTATGGGGGAAACCCTCTATTTATATACATATATATATATATATATAATATTTTTTGTTTTAGCTGTTCTAACTTTTTAACACAATCACTGTGAAAAAACATTTTCACTAATTGAACATAATTTACTCAATTATTAAAAGCCTTCTTTTGCATTTTCTTTGAAAATCTGAGAGTATAATGTAAAAATACAGTTTTGAGGGGAATTTTTCTATTAATAGTTTAGTTACTAGTTCTATTATTTTTGTTTTTGTAATCTGTTTAGAGGGATGAGGTTTTAGCCATCTTGCTACCTCATTCATCACACCCAATAGTAAAACGAGCACCACCAGATGTGAATAGAAGTCTGTCAAGAGACATTCGACGTCATATTGCTACTTCTCTAAAGCAGAGGATAGGAGAATTTTCATGCTATTTTGTCACAGAATTTGTAACTTTTACTCTTCCTGCAGGTACTGTAAAGTTTTTATTTTATTTTAACACAAAAGAATTTCAATATAAGTTGGATTATAAAGGATGTTCAGTTAGCATTTGGCAGCCAGTTGAAATTTTCATATCATTTACCTTGAATATTATAACCTAAGGCCCATTATAGGTACTATGAACTAGTAAGTTATAAATAAATGAACATAAAGAAGTAATAACTATGTTAATGAAGAATGGTATTAACACTAATAAGTTAGATTTTTTTTTAGTAAAGATTACAGGAATTATTAAACTGAGTTTTCAGGAATATATGTTTTTGTGTGTGTGAGTCCATTTCATTTTGATATTGTCCAAAGCATGTTATCATGTTTTCTTATTAAATTCAATTGAAATAATATAAGTATGGCAAGTGAATATTACAGTTTTCTAAACAATGATCTTAACCTTTATCAGTTCAATGGAGTCTGTTTTAATCCACCTTCTACCAAATGATTAAGACTTCAACAATTTCAGTTTTTAAAGGAACATAACATTCATTTTAAGTTTTCTTCACATGTGTCAATGAGTTCTCAGAAGATCTGTTTGGTATGTTTTACGTTATTGTAAAATTACACTATGAGTGGATATGACTTGCATGGCCTGGTGGTTAGAGCACTCGACTTGTACTCTGTGCATGAGTTTGAATCCTGTCACCAGACATGTTCTCCCTTTCAGCTGTGAGGGAATTATATTGTGATGATCAATCCCATTTGTCATAGGTAAAAGAGTAGCCCAAGAGTTGGCAGTGGGTGGTGTTAACTAGATGCCTTCCCACCAGTCTAATGCAGATAGCCCTCGAGTAATTAAAACCAAACAAACAATTCAGTATGTTATATTAAGCTTATCAATTATTTATTGAGTTGCATTACAGTGTTTACTTACTCATTAGGATTTCTCACTTGAATATTCTTGTTCATTATTTTAAGATAAAGAGTCTGAGGTTTAGAGAAGCATTGACCACTCCAGACAAGACAAAACTGTTCATAAAATTATTTACAGTTGTAAACATTGGACAGGGTAAATGCGATATGAGTGTTCACCTGGAATCATCCTTTGTTAAAATGTGGCATCCTACTCAATCCATAATATTTTTAATACTGTTTTTTTCAGAAGTGAATATTTTCTTTTATATGAACTTATATGCCCTAAAGTTTCCAGTGTCCTGTGAAACTAATCAAACTGTTTCTTGAAATGAATATCAACTACTCAGTGGCCATGTATTCAGTCATTTGAACAATGGATGTGACTGAATATATATTTTGTATCCAGCTGATACACTGTCCATTACATATCTGAATTTAATCCATACCTTAAACCTTTTTTTTTTTTTTGGATAAGAAGATTTTATATGTTTAAAAATGGAAACTCATTTAGAGTCCTAACATGTATAATATAGTAAGAGAGTGTTGTTCTTTTGGTATGAAATATTTAAAAGACTATACTTCCTGAACTAAACTTCCCAGAATAAATGTCCCCCAGTGAATCAGGGATAAGTTTGTGGACTTACAATGCTAAAATCTTGAGTTTGATTCTCCATGGTGGACACAACAGATAGCCCATAGTGGCTTTCTTCTAAAAACCACTACCCATCACATCCATAATTGATAAAACCATTTATTATTATTAAAAACAAAATTATTGATTAAAAAAATCTAAATGACTTGAAATCAAAATCGATTGGTCTTTGTTTAAATGTTCTAAATGTTATACAAATTATCTTCTTTTTCCAATCTTCTTGAAGTTGTTGATGATTTTTACTTTTTTATATACAGAAATAGCAGATTTTGCACGACCTGTAACAGAAAGATTATTTGATGAACTGTTAGACAGATATGCACAGAAAGGTATGTTGAAAATTGTATTGTAGAGTATTAGTAAAAGTGCCAGATTAATACAAAGATAAATTGCATTAGCAAGCAAATTACATTTTTGTATAGGTTTTAAGTGTATGAAAATGTTCATGGACACATTCTTGAATGGCCTTCACAATTACTGTTAATTTAATGATTACATGTGTGACAATAATAAGAAATGTGACCAAATCTGTCTATCCATGGTGTGTTGATATTCAATTGATTTATTATTTTTGATGATTAACTTTAAGGCTTATGAAGTTGTGTATTCCAGCTGTGTTGAAAGGTGATTAAGGATTTATTGCTCATTTATTATTCATTTCATTCATGTAAAAAAAAATCTTTAAGAAATGGTAGGTCAAAAAGGATCCTGTTGTATGTGCTTAATGCCAAAGAAAAAGCTATTTAAGACATTTATCTGTAATTTTTATAAAAACCAGAATTTTATATTTCTCTAAGCATTACTTTAATCTTTGTTTTATGCAAAAGAAAATTTTTTAAATGTTGTTTTACCTGTCCACATGCATAAATAAGATAAGTACAAGGTGTATACAGTCAGGGAAAATATGTAAAAGTCAGGGGAAAGGGGGAAAAAAATGCCTAATCAAGGAATTTTTTGTAACTTTTTTTGGGGGACAGTAATCACTAACAAAAACGTATTGGCTAGCTTCTACGTCTAGCATATTAGCTCAATAATTTATTTAAAGTAATTAATGTGGTGATTTCCAAGCATAATTTCCTTTGTATATGTATATTTTTATATAATGTGAATAGTCAGGGAAAACTTTAAAAATGTCAGGGAATTTATTTTTTAAAGTTCTGTATACATCCTGTTTAGTATATATACAATAACATTATTTTAACTGCAATGAAATTTGTTAGTAGTGAGCTAGAAACTGTATAATGTACCTTTCCAAAAACGTTTCTTGTATGATGTCAGTCTTTTTTATATGTGCACTTGATTCCTATTTTTTGCAATGATCCCACAACTTACATTAACATTACTGTACAGATTATACATACATACATACATACATAATTAAGTGTTTGTGTGCTCTAATGGCTATTATTTTATATACTCCAAATATCTTTGAGAGATTTTTATTTATTAACTTACATCTAATGTACCATTGAATGTAGTTCCAAGTACAGTATGGAACTTGAAATGCCATTCATATAAAGTGTCATTAACTCTTGGTAGATCTGATGTGTTTTTTTTTCAGTGAGAATATTTACAGTTAGCTTTTAAAAGTTTTACTAGTGATTCTCACCATGTTTTTATATGTTGGTCATGGTAACATGCTTTTCTGTGATAGTTTTCAAATATGTTAAAATAATGCATATGTTTTATATCTTGGTTATTGTTAATTTGCACACCAGTAATTAATATTCAATTATATTTGCTAAAGTATGTGCCAATTTTTTTAAATAGCTGATTATATACACGTATTTTCTCAGAATTAGAAGAAGAAGCACCAGTTATTAACTGGAGCATAGAACTTACAGACAGGCTAGGCTCAAGACTGTATGTCCTATGGAACCGAAGTGCTGGGGACTGTTTGTTAGACTCAGCTTTACAAGCTACGTGGGGGGTATTCGATAGAGATAACACATTGCGACGTGCATTAGGTGAAAGTCTCTGTGATGCTGCACCTGTGTAAGTTTTGTTTTATCCTTGCTTTTATTTTGCATAGCACATTTCAAAATTATTTTCTTTTAATTGAGCTGTTTGGAAATTTTTACGTGTTAACTTTTACAAACAATTTGTGGTGATTATAAGCAAATAGAGCTTTATATAAAAAAAGTTACTAATTTCAATAATCTACATGTCCAGAAGAAAATATGAAGTCTATATATTGTAGTTTTTATATATTTCAAAACCTCCTAGGTATACTTTATACTGTTGAAATAGTTGTGATTTTGTTGTGTTTGTCTGAAAGGTTATATCCGAGGTGGAGAGAAGCAGAAACTCTGCAAGCTAATCTCTTAAACTTTACGCTGGATGATTTCCAGTGGCAAGAAGACTGGGCTACTCTTCTCTCATTAGCTACACAGCCAGGATCTGCTCTTGAACAGATGCATGTTTTTACTTTGGCCCACATTCTTCGACGACCTATTATAGTGTATGGGGTAAAATATGTAAAGAACTTAAGTGGGGAAGCTTTGGGTTATGCACGCTTTGAAGGTAATGAACTCAATTGATTGTGCCCCTTTTCTTTCAGAAAATAATGCTATGAAGCCTCTTTTTTGTTAAAAAGAACTTTTAAATCTATTTCTATTGTTACATATAAAGTTCTATAGGTGATTTAAATTTTAGACAGAATTGTCTTATTTCATGTGAAACATATTTAAGCAGATATTTTGCATGTATATCATACATATATTTTTCTTAGTTTTTCAGAGGATAAAAGCATTTTAATTTCTTTGTAAAGAGATTAAGATGAGTGTTTTTTTTTTGTAACTTTTATATATAATTAATTATGAAAAATGGTGAGTGTCTAGCTGTTAACTTGCCTGTTATTTTGTACCTTCTGATATTAGTGTACACTTGAATAAATTCTTTACTTAAGAAATCAGTCTAGTATGTTTTTAACTTGTTATTTAAAGTTCTTGGAAGTATGATTGTTTAATAGGTATATTGAAGACTCAGAAAAATCCTTAGCCTCACTTGTCTGTTTGTAAGCATGCTAAATTTAACTAAGTTTTTGCACAAAAATATTATAACAGTTTTTTTAATGTAATTCATGCTCATTTAAAGCTGATATTAAATGCAAGTAACTGTTTCAGAATGTACAGAATTTCTTTTGAGTAAAGACTAAGTATAAACCTTTTGGTTTCAAATTAAATGGTAAATATACATGCATTCTTTTGTTGTTTTTTTTCTTATTAGCATTACTAAGAAATTGTAGTTTATGTTCAAGTGGAAGTTAACTAACAAGATGTTATGTGGAACAGACTTTCTATTTTCCTATAACATTTTTTATCCCCCTCAGGAATCTATTTACCTTTACTTTGGGAACGCAGCTTTTGCTGGAAATCCCCTATTGCGTTAGGCTACACACGTGGCCATTTCTCAGCATTAGTAACAATGGAACCTGATTTAGGTGACGTTTTGGGTGCTGGAGCAAACATAAGGGCAAATGATGACCAGCATGTGGTGTTTCTGCCTTTGGTGTCTACAGACCAAAAATTGCTTCCAGTACATTTTCTTACTCAAAGTGAGGTAGGAAGGTTTATTTTAAAACCATACAAAAAAAATCTGTAGAAAGTATTTTATGTTGCAGCCATTGAGAAGTCAGAAGTTTTATCTTTTGTAAAAGGAAATCTTTATCTCCCCTGTCAATAATACCCCAAGAATCTTCTCATCACTTAGATAACATATTTCTGTATGTAATGTGTATACCTGGACTTTATTTAGTTAAGTTTGCATTGATATGTCGTAGATGACCATGAAACATTGATTATTGTAAGTCAACAATTTTTGCATCTTGTATTAGTAAAGCAAAATGCTTTATTAGAAATGGCCTAAGAAAGAGTAATAGAAATGTTGTTAAAGTACTATAAATACAGGAAATCTTTACATACCACCAACTCACTTGCTAGACATTGACGGTATTATTTTCTGGTGTTTGATAATTATTGCCATCAACAACAATCTGTTCCTTATAATTAACCTTAAAAGTACAGTTTGAATAAAGAAAATTACTTCTGAATCTAATCAATATTTACATCTCAGATTCACCTGACATTTAAAACCATTGTTTATTAGTAAAAAAAAAAAAAAACAAATTCTCCATTCATAGTGTGAATATTGTTTTAGTATAGTGTATTGTTGTGTAATTTTAAATTTCATTTCTTGGTTATATTGTTAACTAATTAAAGTAAATCTTGCATACATCTTATCATTGAAATTTTTGATCATATGTATATCGATATAGGGTCACCTACCGGATAGTGCTACATTTTCCTAGCATTTCTTGTCGGTAGCAATCACTCTTTTTTTCTTTTTTCCATTATGGTTATGTTTATAATCAGTTGCAGCTGATAAATGAGCATAATTTAAAATGTTTGTGCCTGAGATGATCAGGAATATAAAATACTTTGGTAAATTATTAATAAACACCTTGTATTCAAAACATTTTGATTGTGTATGACAAAAGTCAGCTTTTCCCAGTGTATGATATATGTTAAATAATTTTGTTTTGAATTTTTTGTATATTTATATTTTAACCCTTTCTGGACCACAGAGCACCTTTTGGGTTTTGAGTACTCTTTTGCATATCAAATTTCAAAATTTAAATAAGATTAATGATTCTAACTATTTGAACAATTTTAAAATTAAAAACATTCTAAACTTCATATTTTGACATTGTGTAACACTTATTTAACCCTTTCCATACCGGTCATTGGTGAAAGGCCATGTCATCGTGTTTGTTGACTCGCATTCAAAATTTTATTGAATTACTATTACATGAATTTATGTCAATAAGTTTGATATCAAACTGTAGACTGTAATTCAAATTTTAGAACTATACATTATTCAATTTCTTAATATACAAGTAGATATTAAAAAAACAGTTAAACATCAATTTTTTGTGAGTCATGTGGTATGTTGAATGCAGCACTTGTTCAAATTAGATGTTTGTGAAGTCAGAATACTAAGTCAATAGTTTTGTATGAATTAGAAACTCAAATTACTGATATTGACAAGCTAGAATATAAAATAACCTTTTACCTTTTCTATTTGTTAAGATATTGCTCATGTAATGAATCAAACACAGGGGCACCCCACCCACCTCTTTTTATTTTTGGAAATGGTCCCTTATATACACTTACTTCTATATATGACATGAATAACCAATCAGTAGCTCAGAATGTCCTCCTAGTGGCTTTCTTAGCCATTTTAAATTCTTAGGATGCCATCTCCTTCTTTAGAACCAAGATTTCAAGGAGGTAGGTTGTGTCTTTAGTCTGCTCGAAATTTCATATTTTTTTTAGACTGAAATACAGCTTTTTTACTAAGCTTGATACATTATAATGAAATTCTTTATTAGTGATATAGTAATTTATGATTTTTTGGTTATTCAACTGTATATATGTAAAACCTAAAAACAATTATTTTGTTTTGTATCTTCCAGGTGCGAAATTTTAATAGGCTTAGCAACCTACATCATGCAGCAACTGAGTACAAAGGTCGTAACTAGAAGAGATAATTGTTTGCTTTACTTTTTTGTTTACTGTTCTGTGTTTTAAGAAAAATAAGTTTAAGTTTATAATGTATAATAAGTGAAATGTGATTGTATTTTACAAAATACTAGTCAACTAAAACACAGCCAAGACAGGTCACTTTGTAAAGACTAAAGGTCAGTTTTATATTATTGGATACAGTAACATGAGTGCACATGTGCCGTGTCATTGTACCTTCTGTATTGTTAGCCAGGAATGGCTGAAAGGTCAATATAAT